TTTTTATGTAATTTTTAGGTTTGAACTCCTAATTATTTAAAAATAAGACCAATATAGATTTTTCCGTCTATATATATAAATTAAAAATAAAATAAAATAAAATGCATCATGAGTCAATTGTTGTTCCTAATTTTTTATGATTACTAAAATTACATTTAAATTAGAAGATTTGGAAAACAAGTTTTTAAATCAATGATTTTCAATATATTCAGACTTAAAGTATTTACATTTTCACTTGGAAACATATTCTTGAAAAGAGTTGCACTTTTCTTTTCAAAGACATTTGATTTCATCTTTAATATATATTTATTAGGCTAAATATTAGATCTATATATTTGAATATCACACCTAACAAAATTCTCAAGTTTTGCAAGATTTAAGCTTTCATAGTTATGGAGAAATTTCCCATTATAAAGTTTACCTAAATCAAGTATTTGAATTTGCTCTTTAACATTCTCAGGAACACAAGAAGTTTTTGAACATATCAAAAAAAGTTCCAAAACCTTTGATAAAATCCTGTAACAAAAGGAAATCAATGACTTTCCATTCTAAGATACAACAGCTAGTTTGACTTGGATTTGTGCCAGAGTTTAAAATGATATTTTGGAGAAGACAATAACAATTAAGTGTAACCCTAGTGCAAATTTAAGAAAAAAGGGTTCAATTCTTCAAGCTCAGTTTTTTGTACTTTAACTTTGTTATTCGATTATTTAAGTGATCTATAGTATTTGTTACTTTTTTAAGAGTGAGAGAGTGTTTGAGGGAAAATATTTATTAAATCTAGAAAACCTTTATACTAGTTAGAATTATATTTTGAGAGATTGTAATGAGGGATGAGTTGTTTAGGTAAATAACATTAACAAAACTATTGTGCACAATTGCTTCTACACTTGAAGTTGGAAGAAAATGTTCGAATTCAAACTTAACTCTCAAATAAATGGTTCGAGAAATAGGTTAAGTATAAATTGTAATAAAATCACTATAAATTACTATATTTGATTTTTCTCTTCTCTACTCTTTTAATTTTTACCATTTAGAATAATTGCTTATGCTTACATTTACTTATTCAGCATTTTAAACATAACAATCACATAAACTTTCAAGAACCTAAGTTCATCGTTATAAATATAAAAATTACATAAATTTTTAAAAATTCAATTCATCCCATTTGGGTCCCATCTTTTGAGCCTATGACGGACCATAACTTTATGAGATAGCCAGAAAAAATCCAGATTGGCTGCTGATTTTGGCTCCAAAGTACAGCGGAAGCTCCCACGTGTCAACCAGCGTCTGAGGGAAGTTTAATTTCTAGTCCCTAACTTTTAGAATAGTATTTAAGGTCGCTTTCAACCTTTTAGAACCGAGCAATTGAGTTTTTAACTTAATAACCTTTCAAAAAAATTTAAATATAGTCATCCCCTACACATTCTATTAATTTTGATGAAATGAAATTGACATATTATTGCTCTAGCTTTAGAAAGTCTGTGTTGGATGCCATGAAACTCTCTGGTATGAAAAAATTAAAAGAAAAATAATTTATTAATAATATTTTTTATAATAAAAATTTACAATTTGATATGATATAAGTTTTATTGACTTTTTTAATTTGGGCAAGATGTGTGATATTGTATACTTTTATTTGTTTCATGTCATGTAAATATTATAAAATTTATTGTCAAAATTTTATTGTCAAAAAATCAAAACCAAAATTAAAAATTTAAGTAGAAAGACATGAATTTACTTTACATCAATTTGACATCTTATATTCCTTTCTTTTTTTGGGTCACAAACATCTTATATTACTTGAATTTCAAGTTTGTTTTTGGCCAACAAACACTATAAGTCGTATTAATGATTTTCTACATTTTATGCCAAAATTAATCAAACTTATAAATACATTATAAAAGTGTTAAATTATGAATTCACATTAAATTATTATAAAAAATTTTAAAAATTGAAAATATGTTATCAAATTCTTTGAGCTTCTATCCTTTTAAATGCTAAAAACAAATTTTTTAAAAAGAAAGTTAAAAATTCTCCAAATAAAAAAGTTTTGAAAGATTAAAAGGGAAACTGTAAGTACTAAATTTTTAAAGATTGAATATGAATTTGCAAACGACCCTAGAGTTTGAGGACCTTAAGTTTGCATACCGAGAATAATATTTACCGCTCTATGTCCTAACGATCCTAAAATAATGAAAGAGAAACAGCATTCAGTTCATCTCTCCCATCTCCTCCTTCTTCCTCCTCCCTCCTCCCTCCATTTCTCCCCTTTCCTTTCTTTCTGCAAAAACGAAAACAACCAAAGAAACAGAAAGAAAACGGTTCTCATCATGCATGCAAGAAAATGGAAGAGACAAACTAAACAAGGGATAGGAAGGGAGAGAGAAGAGAAGGGATAGTCCCTCTAACAGGGGAAGAAAGTAATTCAATCCCCATTCTTGATATCGATGCGATCCTCAATCCTTAATTTTCAGAATTTGGTAACTTTATTCTTAATTTCTCTCATGTTCTCCGCATTCGTCTCTTCCTCCTCCTCCGATTATCTTCTATGCGGAACCGCTTCTAATCGTTCGTTCGGCCAACTCGTCGACAACGTTCGGAGAGTCATGGGGGTTTTATCGGAATTAGTCCGATCCCAATCCTGGGGAGCTTTCTCAACTCCCAAACCACAGTACCAAGTCTTCGGATTAGGGCAATGTTATGGACATCTCTCCAGGGAGGATTGCGATCTTTGTTTCAATGATGCATCAGCAAAGCTCCAAACTTGCCTTCCCGCCTCCTCCGGTCGTGTCTACCTCGACGGTTGCTTCCACCGGTATGACACTTACAGTTTCTACCACGAAACCCTTGATCCGGCTTCTGATAACGTGACGTGTGGGTCGCCGACGGGTGCCCTGAATGATAGCTATATGTATCAGGATTTTCAGAGTAAGCTGAATCAAGTGATTTTCAATGTCACAAGGAAGGCGCTGAGGAATAATGGGTTTGCAGCGACGGAGGTGAAAGGCGGGGTGCTGACCGTCTACGCATTGGCGCAGTGTTGGAAGACATCTGACGCCAACCACTGCAAGGAGTGTCTCAACAGCGCCGGAGTGCGGCTAAAAAAGTGTGCCCCCGGTGCTGAAGGCAGGGCCATGTTTGCCGGCTGTTATATGAGATATTCCACCAATAGATTCTTTAAACAAAGCGTAGAATCAGAAGGTAATCAGGGTATGATCTTTCATTTTGATTCAATTTTGGCTTGTTTGAAGAAATTATTGTTGGATTATGTTTCTTGTAGCTTAAGCAATTGAATTATTCTGTTTAACTATAGGGAATGTGAATTGGCTGATTGCAGTAGTGGTCTTATCAGCAATGATCTTCACTGTTCTTGCTGCTTTTGGTGCTTTTATAGGGTATAAGAGATTGTCACAAAGAAAGAAAGGTAAAAATTGGTTTCTAATTCAATGATAAGTTCATACTTCAGATAATTTGGCTGTGTTCTTATTTGAATTTCCCTCATTAGGGCTAGGTGATCTAGAACGATTCCCGGGTAGGAGTGGTTTGAATTACAATTATGAAGTGCTTGAAAAGGCAACGGAGTTTTTTAATGAGTCCAGGAAATTAGGCCAAGGAGGATGTGGTTCTGTGTTTAAGGGGATCCTCCCCAATGGGAAGACTGTTGCAGTCAAAAGATTGGTCTTTAATACACGGCAATGGGTGGATCAGTTCTTTAATGAAGTGAATTTGATCAGTGGAATTCAACACAAGAACCTAGTAAGGCTTCTAGGTTGCAGTATTGAAGGTCCAGAAAGTCTTCTTGTTTACGAATATGTAACTAATAGAAGTCTTGATCAAATCATTTTCGGTAATGGCTCCAAGTTAATGTACTTATCATGCTAATTTTCAAGTTTTTTTAATGTAAAAAAATTTTAGAACAATTTTCCTTATGCTGTAGTGAACTTGGATTGACAATGCAGTTAAGAATACAATACATATTTTAAGCTGGCAGCAGCGGTTCAACATTATATGTGGAACAGCTGAGGGGCTAGCTTATCTTCATGGTGGTTCTGGGGTGAAAATCATCCATAGAGACATAAAAACCAGCAATATTCTACTTGACGAGAATCTTACTCCAAAGATTGCTGATTTTGGACTTGCTCGTTGCATTGCTCCAGACAAATCCCATGTTAGTACCGCAATTGCAGGAACATTGTAAGAAAAATTTGGCCGTATAGTTAGATGTGGATTTATGGACTCAATTGCTGCTAATTGTTCTTAGAAAGTTATGAATGTTATGTAGCTTGTTCTAATAATTGATATTATGTTTCAGGGGATACTTGGCTCCTGAGTATCTTGTTCGGGGTCAACTAACTGAGAAGGCAGATGTTTATGCTTTTGGGGTTCTGGCTCTGGAAGTTGCAACTGGCAGGAAAAACAGTGTTTTCTCACAAGGGTCAAGTTCGATTTTATACTCGGTATGGATGATTTTTTCATTTTTCTCTTCTTTGTTCATCTTCTCCATAGAATATTCCAGGCAATCCTATTCAGGAAAAAAATGAAAATGCATTGCTAATTAACATTTCTGGCATGATTATGAGTTAATCTTTCTTCTTTCAGGTTTGGAAACATTATAAGGCCAACACTCTAACACAAGCCATTGATGCTGGTTTACAAGGAAGATTCAATGAAAAAGAGGCATCGGTTGTGCTTCAAGTTGGGCTTCTCTGCACTCAGGCTTCAGCACCACTAAGACCGGAAATGTCTGAAATAGTTCAAATGCTAACCATTGAAGATTACACAATCCCTTCTCCACAACAACCTCCATTCTTGAATGCTAGTGTGCTAAGTGCAGATGACAATACTAGCAGTTCTCTTATAGAAAGATCGTCCTTAGAGGAGCAAGGAATAGACCCGGTGTCCTCTAGTTACAGTCATGAGTCTGCCACCGTGACAAGTCCTCAATCAAAAGGTCATAAAGCAATCGAAGCATCATCGCCAAGATAGCTCGTATTCTGTAACTTCGGTGAGGTAGGATTTCGAGTTGAAGCTAATTGCATTTGGAGAATTTTGTTCGGCATTACATGAAGGAGGTTGTTTTCTCATGTAGGAAGGGTTAGTGACACTTGATTTTTTCTTTTTCTTTGAGATACAGAGGGGAGGATACTTCTAGTTCTTCTTTCTTCTTTATCTGAGGGGAATTGTATTTCCTCCCCTTTGTTGGATACGTGTAGTTTGTACACACAAGTTAATGAAACTATTTAATTTGTATAATAATTTGAACATTAATTCATTTTTATTATTGGAGTAATAATTTGAGGGGATGGTATTGCCAGATCCCTCCCGGCCACAACTCCTCCTGCTTCCTCAACCATCCTAATACTACTTTTGTGTTGTCTCTAGTTGGATTACCAAAGAAAGGGTGAATTAGGTTAAACCTATCCTAAGTATTTTTGACAATTTCAACCAATTTCAAGTAAATCAAATGGCAAACCATAATTTAATTTTATAGATTGTTGTTTTGCAAGCTAAGGAAGCTGCAAAATAGTTAATTATTAATGGAAGAGGTGGATGCTCTATCTCTGTCAATAGTTAAGGGAAGTTTAATTTACATTTTTAATCTGCAACTCTCTATCTAATAAAAAGCCGATACCTTACAAAACTCTACATTTTAAATTGAGATGTGAAATCTCTACAAATGTGATAAGTTTGAACTTTATTTGAGAGTGTTAAATTATGGAAAATGATTTTTGTATAACTTTTTTATTCTACATTTTTGTACAACTGGATGTGTTATTAAAATAATTGATTCTTTTAATTCATGTGAGACCCGTAATATTAAATACATCAATTCATTTAATAACATGTAAAAGTTGTATAAAAATGTAGGATAAAAAAGTTGTTCTTATAGCACAACCCTTAAATTATACTATAATTATAGATTTTTATATTTTCTTATTATAAAAATATATAAAATATTAATTAAAATTACTAAAAATATAAAAAAAATATTAATTAAAATTAGAGAATTGTGTATATCAGTTTCAACTTCTATTAAAAAGTTGGAGTCCCAATTTTAAAAACACCACATTTTGATAAATATTTTCAAAAACTAACTATTTGATTTCATATTTCATTTATGTAAATTATATATATTAATTTTTAGGTTGGTTGCATATATTTAATTAGTTCATTGATTATATAAAATTTAATACCATTAAATTATGTTAAAAAATAAGCTTTTTAATCAAATGATTATAGATATATATTAAATTAACTTGAAAATAGATATACATAATCTATATCAATAGAATATTAAATTCAATGATTGGTGCACCTGGACCTCACGGCTCAACGACCATAAACCGGCTTGTAAAGTGCATCCCCCAAACATGAGAGTTGGGGTTCGATTCTCTCCTCCCCCATATTTGTAACCTTGTTCAAAAAAAAAAAAAAATCAATGATTGGTTTTGAAATAATCATTAAAGGATAGTG